AAGGCAATGTGCTGTATGTATCTGGAGTTGGATCATATTTCTGTCATCACAAACACATTTAGCATACAGATGTACAACAGGATGTGACATCACTGAAAAACACACAGATTTAAACAGAGGAAAACACCTCATTGCATTTGTGTTCAGAATTTAAGCATCCTGATTTTAAGGTTGCTCTTTACATAATTGCAGCCTTAACTCTGTCCCATTTCTGGTCAAATGATCAGAGCTGCTCCCTGTTCTGCTGATCTCTCAGCGTGTGGTGGTGAGATTACACACCGCTCTGCCCCAACACTTATACCATCCACTGAGCAGAGACCGAGTATGCCATCATGTGCATCACATTCTCCTAAAATTAGAGGAGGCACAGCTTCGCTTGCCTTTGATAAAGACTGAATAGCAGCAGCAGCTCTCTAAATTAGGAATAATCTTTGCAAACAGATGTTCCTCTTGCCTGCAGTCTTAAAAACCCATTCCCCTCTGCACACAGCCAAAGATTAGCATTAACCTGGTTTAATGAACTTTACACTCTGTTGCAAGCCTGCAGGGATATTACAATAAGTCTATTGTGTTTATGTAATGTTTCCTCTTATTTTTAACCTGCACCTTTTCTCCAAAAAAGAAAACAAAAGCAGACAGATGGTGTGGTCACAGTGTAGAGATAACTCATTAAAGCACTAATGTTGAATTAAATTGTGTGTCTTTTACAGGGCGTTTTGCTGAATTCGTTTTATTGTGTTTCTATGTGTCCCAGACACTGGTCAGGACTGCTCTCCTTGTTAAGTGTTATAGTAGCAGTGGGCAAGATGGGAGGAATGAAGCGTAACATTGCCTATTGACCTGCTGATTAAGCAGTAGCCGTTATTGCTCGACCTAATCGTACCTGATGGCCCCTCCAGGCAGACAGGGAACAGAGAAACGGCATAATGTCCTGCAACGGATTCATGTGTGTGTGTGTCTCTCATCCTTTCCTTGTAAAAGCATCAGGCATCAGACCTTCGCTTATCTGTGAACTACATTATCACACTCTGTGGTGGTCGGTGTGGGCCATCGGCGCTCTTTGCATTGATGTTATTCCATTTTCTTTTGAAGTGGATTTTTCTTTGTTCGCAGCGACTCCAATAGCATAGTCATATCAGGGTCGAGCAGACACTTATTGTGTTGTGAACTCGCCACACATCAAGAACCTGACCTGTTTGCTGAGACAAAACAGCGGATAGAGGATTGAGGCTTCTGTGTAGCACATTACTGATCAAGATAACGTAATCTCAGTCTTTACATCGCTGTCTGAAATCAACGGAGCAGAAATTTTAAATGAGATTAGTGTGTATACAGGACTAAAACAAGCTCAGTCAGACAGAATATACAGTAATTCAAATATAAGTGTTTCACATTTTATATATTATTCTCTGCTTTACAATTGTCTTATAAATACGCCATAACCTTAAATAGGTCAACATTTGGAAAAATGCTCTTATTTGCTTTCTTGCTTTATGTCTGTTAAAGGTCACTAATTAACACATCTTGTTTGGTAAAAGAGCAATACACGACATTCAGAGCATTAATGTAGCAGCAAACAACTATTATCTATGTAAAGATATATTGCAGTAAGATCTACCTGAGTGGGGAATTAAGTCTCTCCCTCTCTGTGTGCTGTTATCCAAGCTTTTCCTTGCTTTGTTGAAATAGCCGGGCCGGCCGTGCATGCTTTTAGTGCATGTTCCTGCATGTGAGCGTGTCCCACTGGTTAGCCCAAAAACGCTGCTCTGCACTGCGCTCATACAGCAATTACAGCCGATAACGCCGTTCTGACCAACAGCATCATCACCGAAGTGTAGCACCCAACCTCTGGTTCACCCTCAGGTAAATACTATTAGCTGTGTCAGCAAGTTTGCTGTGGTTTGTGCTGTTAGCACCGTTAGCTACGAGCTGCCTGCTCAGGCGTCGCCATCTTGAGAGCCGTTGAGAGGCAATTTAAATGCTGCAAATATCATATATGCAGCTTTAAATCTGTCCATAAACCAAAGTTTAAAAATGACAAGTTCTGTGAGTTACTGCTGGAAATATTTCTTGGCTGGGAGCGGTCACAACAGTGATGACAAGACTCTCTAAAATCGCCGCACAGGTCAAGAAATAGTCCGGCACATGACCCCCTGCGAAACCAAAACTTGTTGTTTTTACACTTTGTACAAATTAAAGAAACAATATGTAGAGTGTTGATTAGTTAGCTTTAGAGGTGCTAGGTGGAGCCAGGCTAGCTGTTTCCTCAAGTTTCCAGTCTTTGCACTTTAACTAACCTTTCATGTCTGTACGCTTAATATGACGCTACTGTCTCCTGACTGTAGCTTCATATTTAACGTAGAGACATGAAAGTAGTATCTATCTCCTCATTTAACTTTCTGCAAGAAAGCTAATACGATAGTTTCCCAAATGTCAAACTCTTCCTTTAAGATAATGTCTTATTTCATGAAATTGTGTCATAAAAGGTCTTTTGACTTTCCATAACTCCGGTAATATGTCTTGGGGTCATAAGCCAAATGGCGTTCATCCACGTGTAGTTTAAAATGTACCTATTAATGTGATATAGTGAAGCAAAAATGTTAAAATTCCTTCTCTCAAACCTCAAGAGAAACACATGATACCTGCATATTTGATAGAGAAGACAAATTCATCCCAAAAGCGATGTGAAATCGTTCACTCCCCTTTATATCTGAGTCGGCACAGTTGCTGGCACTATGTTACATTCTGCCTTTTGTGGCCTGAAGTGTTTTGGCAGAAATCCATTTCAAAATCAACATCCACGAAATGAGCCTGTGAATGCGCAGGACTGCACCGGTCCTGTGATACAGTCCAAGCTGTTTTTCTCATTTGTCATGTTTGCTGTATTGTTTATGAGAACAATCTGCGGTGGCTTGTAATTGACTGCACGTATTGCAGAATGCCTTTTACCTTGCATTTCCAGCCAGTGAGCACGTTACATTGCTTCAGGCAACTATTGACTTAATGCAGAGAGAAAGTGGAAGGTGATGTTCTCTTTCCTCCCATCTTTGTTCATTCCCTTCTCTTCTAATTTCCCCTCGCTGAGTCTCCAAACCCCGGGAGCTCCTCTGGGCCTGCTGCTGAGCACGCTAATGGATATCTACTGTCCCTGAGCCGCACTGTGTAGACAGGATTTCTCCTCATTGAATATTGCGTTAGGTAAATCCTCATTAAAAGTGACTGTTCTCCATGACACTGAGAGAAAAGACTGAAGAGAAGAAAAGAAAAGGAGGCAATAGTACTAATTTGAGCTACACTGTGCTGTATGAGCACATTCATGGGACACAGCTTCTTCTCTACTAGAAGTAAAAAGGAACTGTCGTTTGGTCTACAAAATGTCAGTAAATAGTTAAAGATTCTGTGTTTTTAAAGCCTAAAGTGTCGTCTTCAAATTGTTGGTTTTGTCCGTCCACAGTCCGAAACTCAAAGATATTCAGTTTACAATGATATAGAATATTGAAAAGCAGGTTATCCTCCACAATTGAAGAAGCGAACCAAATAGATTTTTGCAAAGAAATTACAATCAAAATAGTTGATGATTCATTTTCTGTCGATTAAATATTTCAGCTTTGCTAACTACCAATGTAAATGATTTAATGGTACCACTTTCTAATAGGGCACATTTCCTAAAACATTGTAACTATTAGCTTTATATGTGGTAAATAACAAACTTATAAACACTTTAAATACATGTGTTAATTGTAATTAATTGTAGAATCACTTTTGAGTTGCCAGTTGTTGTGTCACATAAGGACACCTATCATGTCATTTTGAATAGTCTTCAATTAATCAGCTAATGGACCACTTAGCTCCTGGAAATATTTGGACCGAAATCAAGTTATTACCAACTTGTTAACATTTGTAACTTTGTAGACTTGACTGCAGCGCATTAGAAAGTGTGAAATCCTAAAGAATTAATAGATATAATGACATGAACATGCACATTTATAGCTGCATTATTGCAAAAGAAAAAAGACAAACACTAGCCAGAACTTTTTTTTTAATCTGGCAAACTAAAGGTGCACTCATGAACTAATCTACAACCCATTTGTATTTTATTTATTAAGCATTTCTAAAGCATGTTACTTGCAACCTTTACATTTTTTATAAAGGGTGCATTATTATAAAATGGCACCAACATAACTTATATGCCTAATGATTAGGACGCAGATGTGGCTGGTTTTAAAAAGATAACCCTGCTGTAGATGGCTTGATAAACTCTCAGTTCAGTTCAGCTTTATTCATCCCTGCAGGGACAATTCATTTTGTGGCAAACACAGCACATTGCAGAGCAATTAAGCAACGAACATGAGAAACACAAAGGAAATGAGAGGCGGAGGGTTTTAATGTGGTCAGCAGGGTTCCAGCAGTGCTGCTGAAGTATGTCATTTGTGGAGGGTAAAACTTTTCCTCAGAGTATTGGTGATGGGTCAGCCAAGTGTGCCTCCTCCTCACATCTCACCATGACCCAGCTGCAGTCTGGCTGGTGTGGCCCACAGAGCTGCACAGGCTCTCTGTGTTTGAAGCTGCAGTGCTTCCTGAGCTCCAACCAGCTCCCCTACAGGGCCTCTGTGACAATTATAGGTCCAATTATAGCTTTCTTTAAATGCCATTTTATCCAGCGGGGGGCTGTGGCCTTTTGAGAAGCAGAAACATGACCACTGTGTTCCTCCTCCTCTTCTTCCGTCTTGCCTGTGGCACTTTGTCCTGCTGTGATACAACCATGCTGGATGTGTACTTACTTGCCCTGATGTAGTGTTGTTGTTTTTCTTTGTCCTTCTTCCTTACGCTTCCTCTACACTGACCTCAGGATACACCCCAGCCCGACCGCTGGCTCCATCACAGCAGCCTCCTCAGTGAGCACCATTCAGGGCAAACCATCACTCCGCCGCATCAAGGGCCGCATTCACAGGAGCAAGAGCCTGGACAGCATTGATCTGCTTGACTCCAATGTAAGTAAACTGACTCAAAGGCAACGCATCAACGAGCTGTATCACAAAACCACAGACACTGTAATGACTAAAATATATAGAACAAATAATTCACCATCCTGACATTAGAGAGACAAAAATGTCCTTAAGGGATGCGTTTCAGTTGTGAAGGGGTCTTTTAGGACTCATGCAGGTATTGTGCAGCAAAATTAATTTGACTTTATCTGTATTTGATAAGTGAGTGACTGAAGAAACCACACACAATGCATTGTTTAAATAAATCCAACCAGACACCCAAATCTAACACCAAAAAAGGTAACACAAGGCAAGTTAGGATCTATTTGTCTTGGGTAAAAACATGAAAGCAGGGATATGATCCACACACAATACCGTGAAAACACAGGTCACAAAAGGTGGCAAATTTCACAAATGATTGTCTTTCGCAAATTGCAGATCATTTATTAAGCCTTACAGTGCTTTTGCATTCTCATGCACGGGCTGCAGGTATGGAGTTTGCTTTGATGAGTGAAATTCGTCAACATGTAAGCAACAGGAAAATAAATGTTGCAAACTGCAGCTTGCATGTTTTGCAAATTTGGTGAAACAGATTCACGTTTACAGTTTAAAGATGTTGATGACGATGATGATGATGGTAAAGGGTTCATACACTAAATTAAACACTAAATATGAAGCAACAGTCAGTGACGTGGTTTTATTGGAGTGTTTACACTTTTTCTAGATTGAAAAAAGTAGATATAACATGTTAATTGGGGAGTTTGGAGGTGCTGGAAGCTAAGCTATCCGCTTACTGGCTGTAGTACAATATTGACCACACAAACAAGAGAGTAGTGTGAATCTTTTCATGGCGCCTGAGCGCTCTTTCTGTGCACCGCCAGGGTTTGTCAGAGGCCGAAGCGTCTGTTACTGACACATTTCAAAGGTGTCTTTCCCAAAATGGCGAACCATTCCTTTAGGGTGGGACAAAGATGTGTTTACTTCCACATGTAACTCAAGGGGGAAATCCTGAGAGTTTGATATTTAATCTCTTTTAATTTTGACTACTCAGCCGTTTATAATCTGATTTAAGATTAAAGTTTAATGTCAAATGTATTATATTGACAGCTGTTTAAATTCAAGATTTTCTATATTGGTTTCCAAGAAGACATTTGGTTTGAGCATCAAGGTTGCTGTTTTACAGACACACACACACACACACATACACACACATACACACACACCTTTCATCCATATTCACATTCAGAAAACAGGTGCCTCAATCCTTCGGTGGATCAAACTCTTTCTTGTCTTTATAGTCACACTAATTGATCCTGACGTACCCTTTGCTGAGTGTTTATGAAACAAAAGACATTAATTCACAAAGCAGTGTTTTAAGTTCAGAGATCTGATGAGCATAAATCAAAGCAGACACAATTTTAAAACACACATGTGCTTTGTTGTTTCCAGACAGAGCAAACTGCTGGAGGGCCTCAGCCTCCAGGGAATTTTATCGTGATGACAGCTCAGCTATGAGCTGACTGTGAATTCAGCTCAAACGCTCCATCTCATTAAAGGATATCACAGAATCACTGAGCTGGTTGAGTTATTGATAAGTACTGGTCAGCAATGTTAACATGGGCTTTAAAAAATATGCGAGTTTTAAACTTTAAGACATCCATTACATTCTTCAAAGCCGTTTACGCTGATTTGTAGCAGCTTAAAACCACGTTGACCTACTATTGTGTGTTTTTAAAAATGCTTTGAAATACCATTTAGTGTACCTCGGGGGTTCATCTTCAACACCTGTGAAAGTTAAGACTCTCAGCTTAGTGTTGCTGTGTGACACAGTCACTCTGAGATGCTGATTTATTAACGAGACCAAGAGTCTGCAGACATGCTTGAGTCTCTGTGAGGCTGCATGCTAACATGCTCACAATGGCAATTCTAACATGCTGATGTAATGCAGTTGTAATGTTTACCATGTTCTTCATCTTAGTTCAGCCTGCTGGCATGCTCATATTGGCAACTAAGCACTACAGCTGAGGCTGATGGGGATGTCGTTGTTTTTGCAGGTCATAAACCAAAGTATTTGCCACATTAAATCTTTCAGCTCGATGATGGCGCTAGATGAAAAGTCAGAGCAGTTATCATTACGTCAATGTCAATAAATAGTATTTCAAGGCAATAGTTGTCAAGATACTTCAATCAAAACTCTCTTTCAATCCCGACACCGATAGCGTTAGCTGGGCTCTGGGTATCGGCCGATGCTGAGTACCGATCCAATAGCAGTGCTTAATTAATAAGCTGTATTCCTCACTGTGCAGAAGAGACTGGGACCATTCCCAGTATGTGTAAGACAACATCAGGCTTGACATGAACATTGCTTTAAAACAAAGTGTAAAAAATAAATATTTTGAGTCAAATTGTTATTTATTATTAAAATTTAAATAAAATTGTGCACCGGCAACTTGGTAAATCTAAAAAATGAACATGAATTCAATTCAAGTGTAAAAAACTTAAACGGGAATTAATATTCCAATGTAATACTGTCACTGATACCCTATTCAGCTACTTGAGCCAGTATCGGCCCGTTATCTGATATTGGTTTTGATCTTGGGGGGGTCACCAAAGTCTTTGCTGCTGGATTCGTCCTCTGGAGGTCTCTAGATGTCTCTAGAGGATGACAAAATGTAGTTGTTGAAATATAACAGTCTGATCCGAAGTGATGAACTGACAGACTGACATTGCCATACCTAAAGCAACGCAACTAACAAGGTTAAAAAAAACTGAAAATATGAAAGCATTTGCATTGTCTCAGTCAAAAAAAAAAGAATAGTCGTGACTGATTCAACAAAAGACCTATATTTTAAAAATGATTACAAAATCAGCATTCAGTCTCCACCCAGGACAGTGGACAGTGGATGCTTTTAGGCTGTAATTGACAGATTAGTGTTGGCCTTGATTTTGAGCCACATACAGCAATCATAAGCCTTCATCTGAACAGGAAAAGACAGTGTATAGTGTCTAGTATTCTCATATCCTCTGTTGCTCTGTAAGTCATAGCGAGTGACTTACCACATCGATGTCATTTGTCTTTATGGCATGCCACTCAGAGGACGCGTCACATTGCTCGAGAGGCCACTATCTCACCAGAGACTGTGAGCCCAGCTAAGGGCTCCTGGCCTTTCCACCGTATATTTCTTTTGTACAGGCTGTGTGTGCACTGGAGGAAAACTTGCTGACTTGCCCAAACTCAAATGCAGCTGATGGAAGTAACAGTCCGCCTTACAGTGAGTGATGAGACTGCAGGATGCTGAGCTGAGGAGCAGTTTCCATTGCATCCTACTAAAATGTCACAACAGACACAACACTGCCTCTGAGCCGTTGGGTGATCTGCGGTCAATTACGAACAAAAGAATCTCGCCTGATTGGCTGTTTCAACAGAAAACTGAAGATATTAATCAACTGAGTGTATGAATTTAGGTACATAACTATCATTGCCCATCAGCGTAGCGCAAAATAATCAATAGTGGTTAAGACTTTGTTTATATCGATTGTTTCTTTTGATTGCTTTTCTCTCTTGATAGTCAGGGGAGGACTTTGGCGCGTCGCCCACTCCCGCTGTCATTTGTGTTGGCAAGCATCGCACTTGTTCACAGAAAGCTTGAATCAGATTTTAGTGCTAAGGCTGCAGAAAGCACAACAGAGATGGAGAGGGGGGGGGGAAACTACAGCCTTTTATGCACCCGATGCCTTTGTGTAAAGCAGGAGTTATTTTTCCCCGTTCATCAACAACACCTCGTCCTATTTCAAAGCAGCAGCGTTTACAGCAATTCTTAATGCTTTAGGGAGATGCATTAGTGCATCTGTTTTAGTATTAAACAAAATCTTATTATCTACACCACTAATCACTCTTCTCTCTGAAAGGATAGGAATTAATGATAAGAAATAGTAAACTGTAACATTTTCCAGGGGATACACCGTCCTTGCTATGTGTGTTTTATATGGATCAATGTCGAGATGATTCTGAACATGCAGTTTATTCCTATGTGCATTATTTTTCATCATGACAATGGGGAAAAACATTTTTTACATACACAAAACCTACATTGTGTCCTTGGTGCAGTGTGGATGCTAAACTGAGGTCGTTGTTTCTGTTTCATGTGCCTTGATTTGGGGAAAGATCTGTTTTTAATGCAGTATTTTTCCTGCCCTCTCAGCTGTTTTGTAAAATGTTAAAGGAATGTTTGCTGCAGAGACTATATAACCAGGTGAGTTGCAGGGAAACTGAGAGAGTATCAGCAGGAGCAGATGCAACTAAGCCAAGATGAAAAGCGCAATTAAATTAATTACTCCTTAACAGATCAGGATCAGTCACCAACTGGGCCTTGAGCTTTGCCTTGGTCAAAGTCTTAATCTCTTATTAGTTCTGCTTGCCCCATCCCACTTCTAAAATCTCATCCTTGGCTGCAGTCTACCGTGGACAGAGGCACTCCCCCCCCTAACCACCACCAAAAAAAGCCCCAGCGTAAGCATTTATTCGCTGCTCAGTCTTCGGAAAGTGCTTGCAGACACATTTACGGAGAGAGCAACTGCAGCTGAATTAACCAATCTGCATATTCAGGGCCTGTTAGAGGGAGATTGCTCCCGTGTGTTGAAGGCGTGGAGGTGGGTGCAGGGGGTCGGGCCTGAGTGAGACACACCACAAGGGCTGAGGGAAGAGACAGAGAGAGGAGCAGAGTGTGTGGGTTTATCACGACTACTGTAGGAGGCCTTATAGGAACGAGGCGGGGGGCTGTGATTGGGGTAGCAGCTGATTTTCTTTTAGGTACGACAGGTCTGTTATGTAAGAACAGAGTCTAAAGGATGAGAGGTTTTTTTTAACCTATAGGTGATGGGCCCAGGGGGGTGGTTGGAGGTGATTGAGGGGGTTTGTATGTGACACTGAGGTGGAGCTGGCTATGTATGATGCATGTGAAGGTTGCGTGTGTCATCCACAGGCTGCGTGGAGGACATGGCAGATGTTGGTATGTTTCTGGAGGCTGTGACTCAGGAGGCCTGCCTACGTTTCCTCTGATGGGACATATGGCAGGTCACTGAAGGCAACATGCACTGTGTGTGTGTGTGTAGTATCACACATCTTGTAGCAATGCGTTGACTTTACAGCAGCAGCAAAAATAAATACATTTGAAACTGGATAAACTAGATAATCGTTAATATGTAATGTGTAATAGTGTTTCATGGTAACAGTTTTATGTTACATCCATACTTCAGGATGACCTAAAATGGATTCCCTGTAGCTCTCAGTAACACTGCTACACTGATCAAAATACCCTCTTGCTCATTTCTTCTTCAAAGGATGCTGGGACTATAAACAGCCGAGACCTTGGTTGTCAGTGGAGGATTTGAAGACAATGACTCGTGCTTCTGAATTGTTTTTATGGTCGTGCTTGTATCCCTCATCTACAACAAATCATTTTGAAGAGACTCAAGACTCAAACCCACATCAATCCGAACAACTCTATTGACTTCCCCGCATGATTTATGTCAGGAGAAGAGACCTGGACAGTAAGCGCCATCGGCAGCCGAGGATTAGTGAAAATGTAGCACTAAACCAACATCACTTCCAATATTTTCCATTCCAAAAATGCAATCTATTAATACCACAATAACAAGATTTCATTATAATTTTGGCTTATTTTCAAGGAGGACTTGATGTCCATGTTACCCCCCCTCCCCCCCCCCCCCCTTTTGAGCTCATGAGTGTGGGGTCAAGTGAAGGACAACCAGCAGAATGATGTAATGTTTGAAGGAATCAAGATGGTAGCCATGGTGGGGAAGTCAAGCATGAAGAATGAAACACTGGGAAGGTTGTCCCAAGACAAGTTAATCAATCGCAGGATTTGATGCTCACACTTTTGGACGCTCTGTAGATTACATTGTCTGTTGATTGATTATCCTGAGAGGAACATGCACTGTTTTTGGGGAAGCGATATTTTGTATTTACTAAAATGAAATTTTACAGGCAGCAAATACGCTTTGGATCTACATGTGTTTATTTGTCATGATAGCATAATATCCAGTCATGAACATACTATCTTTGTTAATGCCCTAAATATAAACAAATGTAAACTATTTATTAGGTCTGCACCAGGTCTGACTTATCGTTTCAGCTCTTTTATTGTTATCAGCAATATAATTCAGTGACAGTTTATCCTTTATTCATTGATGGTTGAAATAAAGCAACATGCACTGTGATAAGACTGTTATTAGTCTCAAATAGCACGATACTGGTTCAAATCACATGAGATTCAACACAACAGAGCTCCATTCATGGTCAAAGAATCTAAATTGAAATAAAGCTAAAATGTCTATTCTATGTTTGAGAATGAATGAAAGGATGAAGTGTGTGTATATTTCTTAAATTTATTTAGAAGTGTGTGTGTGTGTGTGTGTGTGTGTGTGTGTGTGTGTGTATCACACAGCCTGCTGTGTTGCTGGACATGTAGGATGTGCGTTGATGCCCAGGGAGGCACCATATGCTGTTTAGACTCAGGAGCATCCCATCACGGCGGACCCGTGGGTGAACAACCGCAGCTCCTTCTTGTGTCTCCCTCCATCAGCTCACGCATGCATCATCGGCCAGCAGGAGAATAAATCACTAAATCACACGGATCCACTTTCCTCACGCTTGTTTTCACGCCACCATGAATAATTCTTCATATAGATGTTCCTTTTTTTAAGGCGGGAGACGGTCATGCTCGACGCATAGTGTTCAGCTGAAGTCCTGCAGAGGGCAGAGTTTTACTATCTATATGTACAGGAACACAGTGAACATCCATGTTTGTGTAGCTGATGCAATAGAAGAAGGAGGGGTTGGATGTGCAGTTGGGATGTTGGATTTGGATGAATGTTTAGCTCTGATATGTGGTGATAGAAATGTTGTTGTAGTTGCAAAGAAACATATTATTTAAAAAAAACAGGTGGCAGTGCAGCGGCTAGAATGGTAAGAGTTGTTGGTATGAGGACTCTTCATACTCATGTTGGTGAAGTCAAGTAGGAAAACATAGTTTAACCACCCACTCATCAGATGGATTACACAGGGGGCAATCTTGCACTGTTCCCTCTGTTAAAAGAAAAATAATTGGGGTTTCTTTTTGTATTTATCAATGAGTCCACCTGTAGTTGTGATCAAAATGCAATTCCAGTTGAATTAAGAAAGTGGAGATTTATAGCATTGTCTGGCTTCTTTTCCGCAGTGCGGTAAATTACCCCTGGGTGATTTTTCTCCCTTTTTCTTTCCTGTCACCCCCATCACCTGCCCTCCACAATGCCCCTTCAGTCTGGTCCGAAGGGAGCACCTGATCCCACACCACCAAGGCCTCTAATTGCTTTACTCTCATCCTGAGCGAGGGTGCTCTCCTGGGAAAAAGACATGAATAGGCTTATGAATCCAAACTAATTTAAAGGTCTGGTAAATGGAAAATAAAAAATAAAGCCACCTCATTAATAATTGAACTGGTAGGTCACATTGAGGGTGACACTGCGGGGGAGGGGATTACACTTGGTGGTAAAAGATTTTCATATCTTATCACAACATTGTGTGGTTTCAGGGCATTGCTGTAAAAGAGCATAATGCTTGGTCAATTTTGCCTGAATAAACAATGGTTGATAACGTTATAGGTTTTAGAGACGTCTCCATGGGCTTATGTGAGAAAAGCTGCAGAGTATTTGTGGTTATTAATTAACAGATAATTAATCTGCCGTCACCATTTCCAGCTGTCTCTGAAATCACAATCTGATGGATCAGGATCTTGCTCCTTTAAAAGCTTTCATTTTCCTCAAGGAATTCAGCTTCATGGTCTAGCACTGCAATCTGATCTCTTGTCTTAAAAAGCAAAATAACTCCTAACTCACCATTTTTCTGTTGAAGACCTCTCTGTCATACACATATCCACATTAACTGATTGGAATTGTTCATCTTTATTGGCATTAGTGCTGCCCTCCTGGGATAAACATACTTAGGCGATTGATTCTTTGGAACTGTAGGCCTACATGATGCTGTAGTTTGATCCAGAGAGGATTTGGATGTCGGTGGCCTGGTGTCACATGATCAGCAGGGCCGGGGATGTGAGGTCACCTGATATGTCTGAGCTCTCAGCTGTTGGTGGGAAAAAATTGAGATGAGATTATGGGTTAATTTTGGGAGTCTTGAAAAATATGTATTTCCTCCCTGTACATGGGTTCTGATTTTTATTAATGAATGTGCTTTGTCAACCACATTCTGTATGTTCACAGTCTCCTTTTGTTACTGCCTGTAGCTCAACAACATTACTGAATGCCACTTTTCATATAATATCTACCTTGCAGCATTTCCACTGCAGCTAGTGCGACACAAAAATTGTCAAGCATGTATCTCCTTGCAGATGACAATCCAATTGTTATTGAAATATATTAACTGTTAATTCCATTTGAACTGCAAGGAAGCAATTCACAAAGAACTGCAAAATATGTTGTTTAATTGTTTTAGTTGGCCCTTGCATAAAAGCGGAGTGCACTAAAGAGTAAAGCCAGTTGCATTATTATCCAAATGTTATTATCTAATGCAAAATCTAAATATTATATATGCCTTCTTTTGTGGGACAGGTGTTACAATCACATACTGTAAAATTAGCTGCTAATAAGCTGGACAGAGATCAGGAGGCTGCAGCCAAAATCTGTCTCCTGCATGGTTCAGCTGCATTCTACTGCTGCACATCCTCAGCTCTGCCTCACCGAGCTCACGCTTCACTCCTCTATAAAGCATCTTCTGATAAGTGATTTTTCTGACTGCTGACTTTACAAGATACCTCATGCTTGCTAGATTATGGGCCCTTGCTTCACCACGTAATCGTGAGGCATTATGACACCTTGTGTAAGGACTTTCTGTCCCAAACAAATGGGTTGGCTGTCAAGTCAGTGTGCTGTTTTCTCATGTTAGAGGTCAGTGATACTGACAGAGGACAACACGGAAATCACAGAAATACAAGCCTCTGTGCAGACGCCAGCTCACTCCCTTATGAGATTACATTGATGTACTCCAATTTGTAAAACCAAAGACTGGATAACAAGATGAGAAGCACAAAATTTTGAGTATCATCTTTTCGCCTTGGCAACACGGCGTCACATATTATCATCTATTCTTTCGCATTGGACAAATGCATTTATTTTCCTCTGCTGCAGTGCTATGTTTAACGTCTGTCATGTCATTTGATAGCTGCAGTCGTTAAAGCTCATGGATAGCCAGGCCAACCTTTGCTTAGTAGGCTGTTTTCCTGACCTGTGCAGCTGAGATGTGACTCACTCACCGTCAGGAGCAGTGCACTCTAAAAGCCAATCTGCTGTGAATTTGTAATTTGCTTTTCCACTCGTGTGATTTGTTCCTGCAGTTATACTCTGGTTTGAATCCTGTCCGTGTGCCTAAATGCGCTGATGGGGGAGAGGGGCTGCATAATTCTGTTGCACGGCATGTGAACCTCCCTCTGTGCTGTTGGAGCCAGTGATGCAAACACTGTCGTAGCATTAACAGAGGGTATTTCAAGGGCTTCAACAGAGATACATTAAACAGCATACGCTCACAACAGAGCCAATTCAACCACATGCAGAAGAAGTTTACATGCATGCATTTCCAGAGGGGTTAGATAGCTTGATTACATTTCTGCTGCAATACTTTAGCTAAATACCGTAATGCATGATGATAACTGATGCCGCCATCTCACTGTCATTCATGCTCATTGAGTATACTATACTGCCAAAGGTTTGCATGTAATCACTATCAATAGACACTCAACAAAACTGTAGAGGGACAGATCACGGAAACATTTATTGTTTTCTGAGCAGTTTCTTTTTGTTCCTATATTTACAACTACAGTTCACCATATTTTGTTTTTCCACAGGGTATAAATGACTGCCCTTGTTTATCTAATTCTTCTGACCTTGTCCAACTCGCATTCTTCCATTCAAGATGCCCCCCCCCCCCCCCTTCAAATCCTCCAATGGAATCTGCAGCAAGTCTCCTTACGTCAGCAACATTGCAGGACCTCTGTGCTCCTTCATTCAGCCCGTATCTTCTCCTGCACTCATTAGTGCCAGAGGTAGAGGTGACAAGAACGGTCACACAATCTCAAAGTGATAAAATGCACAACAGAAGGTGCTGCAGAGAATTAGCTATACTTCTAGAGAAGCCAGCACAAAAACTAAAGTGCATGCAATGGAGTCTTAAGAGTGGAGTTTGGTGCAGTGCACAATTTACATTCTACTGTATATTGATTACATCTGTATACCCCATGGGAAGGAGTATTGAGCATCGTGACTGTAGGGTGGATTTTAGTTCTATCCTCTGCATTTTAAATGGCTTTATGCAGCATGTCATTACTACTTAAGTAGCCTGCCTCAGCTTTCCCTGTAAAGACTTTATGTTTGCGGTAGTTAAAAGTGATATCCAAATGGATTTTTCGCATTCAAAAAAACATTCAAAGTGAAATATATTCCACTTTAAGGGCCTCCAATCTTCATCTTCTACAGCATATTTTACAGAACGCTATCATTTCAAAATAAATAGCCGTTTTTCCTGATTGTGCACTAAACACACACACACACACACATACACACACACACACACAAGGGCTGAGGGATTAACCATCTTGTCCTTGTCCAGTCCTTTGTTTCAAAGGATGCCCAATCAATCAAACCACTTGTTTTTTAAATTCGATCTGTCAAATCAATATTAAGGCTTGCTTAACATAAGAAAGTTATTTCATTAATTTGCATATATAATATGCACCTGGACGTTAGGTTCTGGGTGTGTAGGTTATAACAATAACAGGATATCTACTGTATCTTGATGTTGTCACATACAGGCATAAAAAAAACATATTAAATGATTTAAAAGAAAAGTATTTTGTAGTACTGCAGTACTGCTCAGCATCTGGTTGAAATGTATTGTCAAACAGTTTATTTACTGTTTATAATCTAATAAAGCAAACATTTTAATATGATGAACAGTTTTAAAGGTGCCTCTCTTAAGGGGCATGTGGGCAATGATTCACTCTCACTGCAGACAAAGCTCTTGGTAGCTCTTTCATCTCATACCGATTTATTTGCGCTCTGTTTGATCGGGATGCTTGTTAAAAGCTCTTTAAGATAAATCAAACCATTACGTCACATGCAGCAGAGTGAAAGCTTACAGTGCTTTGTGTGCACAAAGGTCTGTTAGGCCTTCTGCTGTATACCTGTAAAAGTCTACTGCACCACGGGTGCTATAGGGAAATCATATTACCTGGAAAAGCAAGCTTTCGTAGCACATTAAAAGTTGAAACAGGCCAGCTGTCTTGCTGCAGTATAGGTTCTCAAATCTTTCGTATTTTCATTTTGTTAAATACATCCACTTGAAGTTGTATGGAGAAATATGAAAACCATTAGACCTAAATATAATCAAAACCCATTTTGGAGATTTTGTTGTCAATACTTCTAATTTCAGATTAACACAACACAGTTGGTGTTTTGGTAGGCCTATAGGCGCTAAAAATAGGCCAGTGACAAAGACCACATTTTTAGTAGCCACATACACCATGCACATCTATTTCTTATTTTAAAATAGGCCTAGTTAATGTCATCCTTTAAAATAAATAAATAAATAATGTTGAACATATGAATATATGAATCATCAGTCCATAAAATTAAAATATGTTGGTATTATTTAGTTCAGATGGGAATTATTTTGAAAAAACTAATAATACCCTGTGAAGAATAGCGTTGTAGTATTATTTAACATTGTTGTGGGCTAATATGAAACAATGTGCAGTGAGAATGCCATAGGGACTTTCCTAGTATTTATTTATTTTGGTTCCTTAATAATTGATGCATTTGAAATAGATGACAAGGCGATACCCTGGCAAGCCCTACATGTGAAGTGTTCACGAAGCTTCTTCGGTGCGTGTTCACCCTCGTCGAAGACCGCTCGTTCTCACGCTGGAATGGCGCTTGATGCTGCTGGATAGCTGCTGCTGCTGATGCTGCTGCTGCGGCGGCTGCTGTGGACAGCCTCTCTGCATCCCATCCTTCCCCCTCCCCCCTCGCGGACAAATCGGAATGGTTTCTTCCAGGCGAACCTGTCACTGTCACCGCGGCGGTGACGGCAGCCGAAGTGTGAGAGCAGTGTGTGTGTGTGTGTGTGTGTGTGTGGGGGGGGAGAGAGAGAGAAGGAAGGCTTCACCCACTGCCTGCCATTGCAGTGCGGCGGCTGCTGCTCTGGAGCCACACCAGCAAGATCTTCCCATTCCCTTTTTTCTGTAAGATTTTCACAAGCACGGCGTGAGGACCATTGCTTTTACTAAAGGTGAATGGTTTTCTTGTTCTCTCCGTGAGTTCGTTATTTGGGGGAGCGTATTTCGCTCTAGCTCGCGGGAGCTGACTGGATGCGTGTGTCTCTCTGCGGGCACGAGCGAACGATAACGGTGCAAGCCGAGGTAACTTAGCCACCTCTCTGCTAGCGAACTGTATCTACGCGCTATGCTAAGTGGTTAGCTAGTTGCCCCAAACATGCTAATATTATCTTCTAGCTGCCAGCATGAATAACGGTGTTCATTGCCCTATTTTTCTTTTTGTGGAGCTTGCATAAGCGATAACGTTAACTGACAAAATGCATTGCGGTTGAGCTGTCATCGGGCGGAGCGTCCAGGTAACGCTAGCTGTGATTAGCTAGCCTAGCTGCTGGAACAAAATGTCGGCCAGCTTGGGGTTGATTTGACCAGAGAGGGTGTAAAAGGGGGCAAAAGATGAATTAAGTGTCAAACTGCTAGAGACAAGGAGGGAGCGGTATCGTGAGGCCAGCTGCTACACATATGACATCGGGGTTTTGAAATTACATGGAAGGTCAAGCGGTGGCTCACCTTGTTGTGATGGTCTGTTAGTCAAACTTAAGTGGGTCTTTGGTGAGGCTAGGTAGCAGTTGGCTAACGTTAGCGTTTTAGCTGGGTTAAGTTTTGGTGACACTAGAATACCTGCCTGTCTGTCCCCGGTGTCTGTCACGTTACCAGCTGTCGTAATAATGCCCTGTCAGCTGTGTGGGGGCTTTCCTGTGGGCTACAGCTGGTGTTTGGTTAGCATCGCTCATGCTATCGACTAACTAACTATTTATATTTCCATAACAAGGAATAGACTGCTGCTAACATGAACACAAAGCACCAGGCATCACCTGTTGAGTGTTATAAAAGCTGGACTCTGTTGTTGACTGTTATCGTTTGTTACATTAAGTTAGACTAGTCATAACTACAGCTAGTATGGACAGATAACATACAACACACATTCACGTTTAATCACTCGAGCCAGGATACAAGAAAATGATCTTAGATATAAAAGTAACAGACCTTTAATCATAATATTGTGATTCAATGTGAATTCCCTAACTTATCCTTAAGCCAACATGGCCAACATATTTCACAACCTCTGTTTTGATTACACAATGTATGAAAACATCATTAATAGTGGCCAAAATCAGCTAATAAGTATGCTCTTGATCGAGTACATTTGGGTTGTATTCGCTCACTTTGTGAATGGTATGTGATCGGTTGGTCCTGTCTTATTGTCTATAATGGATAACAGTCTTTGAATTTAAAGGAAGCTGTAATTTAAAGCATTCAGTAACATAACATTTCTTCTGTTACCACAACATATCCACATTACAATCTATAATTTGAATATCTGTCAATGTAGTTATGATGATTCATTACTGCACATCTGTGTGTTGATGTGCTATGTAACATCATCACTGGCCTCATGATAGCAATGGGTAAATGAAGTGGCAGCAAGGCAAGTCAACAGACTTTTCAAATGAAGTGGGTGAGGCACAATACAGATGATATTTGTGACAGCCATTAGATGTTTCATTGCCCCATTTAACTGTTTTTTTTTTAAATAATTGACTTGGCAGTGTTGTGCTGGTAAACATGTCGCCTGAGTAGAAGAACAGAATATCTAGCTGCTCAAGGGCAGCCATACATCTTGGCCTGTAAATCATGTTGACCTAAGCTGTCATGGGAGCAGCAGTCATCTGAGTCATTGTGGTTTTGGAAGGACAGATGTATCTGATATGTTGCCAACCTAAGTTACATGTGACTGGAGTTTTGTAGTCTTGTGTATTTGAGGACACGGTGTGGTATGAGGGGCTTTTGAACCAGCTCTTGCTGGTTGAAACATACCTATGTGACAATGAGACTGTATTAATACCATATGTTGACACATTCTATATTTTTAAACCTTAGTTATGCACACATGTTAATGCCAACCTAAATGGCTTATTTTATTGATATGAAAGAGATCAAAGTAAATGTCCTCAGGTACCTCTTTACAGAGATGAATGGTCTAGTTGTGGAGAGAGGGGCTGCTGGAAAACAATGCCAAAACAATGGTGGGAGACTGTGAAGATGGCACATGTTTCAGTGTTGGTGATAGCCCTAGAGGTGCTACTAGAATAAAAAGAAAACCTATTGAATGAGTTAACCTGCAATGAGCTAAGTATTATATCTCTGCTAACTACACCATGGATTAGTTTGTACAATTAACATTGTTGTGATATTTTCATCCGTTGAGAGGTGAGACTTCAGACTGAGATGGACTTTTGACACCAATTGTTTCTCCCTGCCTGAGCTAATAGATCTAATCCTTTATTTTTAATACAGGAGGATTTTCTGTTCTGCATTGCAGCCTAGTTTAATCCTGCCCCTCTTTATGTGCACTCAAATGTTACACTGAATACTTACACTGCATACTACATACACACAAGATGAATTAAATAGAACTGGTGCCAATAGAGAGGGTTTTTAAACATAAAAGTCACACATCTCAGCATGTATAGATCATTTACTGTAATAATGTTTGTGTCAACCTTCACAACCAACTCTAAGGACAAAATATAATGCAACGTAGATTGCAGTACACTTACAAATACCACTTGACATTTTGTGGGTCAGGCTTTAAATAGTGGTCATCTGTCTATCTTCTTTAGCTCCTTACATATTTTATACTATCTCATTTTTCGGCTACTTTTTGGAGCTGTACGAGTTGTTGTGAGATTGATTGATGGGTGCTGTGAACACTGAAAGGTCATTGCTTTGACACACGTCCAAGCTGAGACTTCCTAGCAAACGCTTCTCAGAATTAGGACGTTAAAGTCCTCGTCCCCATCGAACAGTAAGTCTCTGTGTTGGCAAATTACATGTTGATGTTATGTTCATAGCTCCGGTTATACAGAAGCTTTCTTATATAAATCAAGTCCATCGTAAATTTGAAAGGGGTGTGAAGCCATCACAATGACGAGGCTTGCAAATCTCTCGTCAATCACATTTCAACGTGAACCTCCTTTTTCTTCTAGCACAGAAACATCCCTTATCATTACTGTTTGTCATTGGCTCCTTTGTCCTCGTTTCAGTCCCTGTGACTGAGAGGAGGCAGGGTGCAGGTCAGTGGCTCAGCTTATCAGCACATTCCTGCCCTCTGATGGGCTCTGTGTGGGGCGCAGATAACTTCCACAGGGCTGATTTCCTGGTCCATGTGTTCAGGACACACTGTGGCTCTGGTTATGATCACTGACTCGAGCTGTGGATTCTGAAAATAGACTCCCTGAGACGAGTATAGAAGTTTTGGGCTTCATTTATTTATTATTGTTCTGTTGTTTTGTGGAAAATGGTGTAAAGAAATCCCAAACTCAATTCAAGAGTCATTTTTTGTTAGGGTTGGATGTTTCTCTTCCGCTGCCCCAGAGTGGCCCAAAAAGTTCTTGCAGGTTTAATATTTCAAATGCATTAGAGAGACATAATTCAAGACAACGCGACTTGGATTATAAAACGTGTTATGACAAAAGAAAAGACAACCAGCTATACAATGTCTCGTCTCCGCTGAAGAACGTTTACCAGGTCTACACTGTTGGACAGAAAGTACACAACTCATGTCAGCATCAATATTATGACAGATATCAAAGTAATAACCGCTCATTATCATGCTGTCTGAACAAATTACATGAGATCACTTGTTAAGTACAGTGTTGACAGTTATCCTCAATGTTTAGCACATCAAATAAGGTTTGCCTGCTGGCTTCCTCCATTTTGGAAACTGAAACCCAATCATTGGCTATAAGTATCTTTGACAGTTCTCGTAGGTTTCCGTGTGTTCAAACCATCACAAAGACATTTTATTCAATGATGGCTATTTGTCTCATGGACTGCCTTCGAGACTCATCCCTCACCGAAGTTGTTGCCACTCCAGTAACTTTATGTCAAGTCTCTTCCTCAGATGTGACCCCTTTAAGAGCGGGATTGAATGCTTTGACAGAAACGATCTGTAGTCACCGGATTGATTCTGTTTTAATATTTGCTACAACTCAGTAAAACCAACACACTTATGTAAAATCGACACACAGTACGTTGCTGAAGTATCCGTAACTGAAACAAGGAATGTAACAGAATGCTGGAGTAATCGTGGTGTAAACGGTACTTGACAGAGAACACTTCATTCGTACGAGAAAAGTTGCGTTTCTGCGTCACCATTTTTGCGCTGGGAAAATAAATATTTATATTTATTTATAAGATTTATTTTGCAGAGTTTAATTACACCCTTGCATTCTGTCGTCACGAATGAAGTATTAAGAATAAGACATAGTAGCGGCTAAACTGCAGACTTGGAAGCGTTTAGCTGCTTGGGTTCCTTAAATGCCTCTTTAAGTTGTTGTAGGAATAATTAATTTGGAGGCTAGTCGGCAGAAGCTGGTGGAGAGAGCAGACTATGTGTGGAATCTGTCACCACGCTCAGGCTCTGCTCTGAGGGATGTAAATTTAACCAGCGGTGATTGGGTGTCCGTCAGGCTTGTCCAACTCAATCATTCCCTGACTGAGAAGTGGGAAGTCATGACCCACGTGGCCTTTGAATGGTCTCAGATCCATGTTTGTAGTGCAAAGTGAAATGTTGCTTCATTTGTCTGATACAGAAGTATCGTAGCTTCTGCACGTGAATCACCATCAACACTGTGGATGGACTTCATGACAAATACATACGTTGAGTAACGTTATTGCTATACGGACGTTTGGTATGTGTGTTATTCAACTGATATGCTACACTAATGCGTCAAACACAGACGTCTTAATGGGGTAAAAGGATTAAACTACTAAAACAATTGTAAAAAGTTCCTCTTAATGCTGCTTGATTAGATGCACTCACTAAGATGTTTTCCACAGAATAGAACAATATTCTCAGTTGTTGGAACCTGCAATGCAGTGAGCTCTTTTCCTAATAAAGCCGTTTCAGTTGCCGCACTGTAAACGCCATCATAATTTCGGCTGTACAATA